TCTTACCTGATAAATTTGAGTATTCTCATTACTTGTTTTCTGGATATTGTATGGACATAAAAGGGAGAGGTTACATGTTAATCACCTCTGGGAGTTAAATGGTAAATGGTTGCATTATGATAGAAAATTTAGAGGGAAGAGAAGAGAATTTTTCCTTAGTATGATTTTTGGATCAATATCAGTATCTGGGCAACTGCCCACCTACCCCTCCCCTAACTCAACAACAGTCAATTGATAACAAGTTAGGGTTAATGTTGGGTTAGGGGAGGGGTAGGTGGGTAGTTGCCCAGATACTGATATTGATCCTGATTTGTCGTACATTGTCACAAGGAAATGTAACTTGTCAGCAAAATTTCCAGGCACATGAAAATGCGCAGGAAGAGAATTAGAAATGGAGAAAGGTAATTTTACTTTTGTTTATTATTTGCAGCACCTGAAGGAACTTATCCAAATGGTGTTAGGGATGTTTTTAGACACATGGTAAGTTCAGTTCTACGAATTTGTTGCTGCGGAGCATGTTAGTTTAGTTTGGTCAGTCTCACTGTGTGTGATACTGAGGGTGACGTGGATACTGTAAAGCCCATGATTACCGCGCTGGACTTTGCATGAAGAGGCCTGTGGTCGGGTCCTGGTCACCTGACCTGGTCACATGACTTTGTTAACTTGCTAAGGACTTGCATTCCGTCCAAGCAGAAAAACATAACTCACTCTCTTCATGTAACTGATAAGCTCGTAAGAAGTAACCTTCGAAGTGTGATCTTCCTGACTGAGTGCGCATTGTAACATTTTAGATGCGTGAGGAAGGACCTGGGGCGCTCTTTAGAGGCCTAACTCCAGTTATGCTGAGAGCTTTTCCAGCTAACGCAGTAAGTACACTCTTTTAATTGCATCATTCAGTGGTTTCCGTTTTGAATTTGACACTGAGTGGATATGAAAACAAGAAGAACCAATTTATTGGGTAATTTTGAGTTATCAATTGAGTTGATAACGTAAATTGGCAGCACCACAATCTCTTTAGAAACTTACCCCTTCATTCAACTGGAGGTATTGCTCGTTTGCTTTCAATTGAAGGGACACCTTTGGATTACATCCATGTACACAAAATTAGACCTTCATTGACTTGCACATCTTTGCTATTACTTTTCAGTTATCGTTAAGCGGTCTAGAAAACTCGCGCTATAGTTTTAACGAATCGTGGAAAACTAAAACAGACCGTGATTTGCTTCCTCGCTTTTTCTCGCGCTTGCATGTTATTAATTTTATTTTTCATTGGCTCGTCTGTGATTGGCTTTTAGAAACACTAAACAGTTTTTTTTCCGATACTTAATCCAAAACGCTCTAATGCGGAAAACTCTTAAACCAATCCCGCCATATCTTTATGGATAAATTGTTTTTTATCAATTCGCTGTTTTCTTTTTGACAGGCTTGTTTCCTTGGGTTTGAATTAGCCATGAAATTCTTCGACTGGATTGCACCGGACTGGTGATTTGACACCAACGGGGACATATCAGCTGTTGAAAATATTCTGCACATAGCAGGGGAAAAAATTGTCTTGCGAGAAATTTGGCTTTTGTCGTGATGAACTGTTCCTCTGAATGAGATCTCTACCTGAGTTTTATATACAAACTGAAAATAATTCCCCCAACGAAAAAGCCTTTATTATTTCAATTAACTACAAATTACCCTCTTTTTAGTAAGAATATCTTTTTCTCGGTAGAAGCGCAGCGATTGTATTACTGTGTTTTAGTGAAATTCAAAAGAAGATTCACCAGCATCTAAAGGAATCTTATTTATTCAACTTCTATTTTCTAGGAGATTTTTTTCTTCTAGACATGATGTTTACACTCTATACAGTAATGTACGAAACAAGTAATTTAATTTGGAACAAATTGTTTTTCTACCACGCAGCTGCCCGAAATTACGTATCGCGTGTGATATTTTTTAGTTTGCAGTTCGTAAAACTAGACTTACGTCTCGCATCTGAATCTGTGAAGATCTACATTGTATCTACAAAGGTTTAAAATGTGAAACTTGGCCTTTTAATGAAAGAACAGCCTTCATCGTAGGAGAATATTTCGTAGTAAAAGACAGTTAAAAGTGAATGGTCTGAAAATTGTGATTCGCTCATGAGTTCGCATCATCTTGAGACACTGAATGTTGCTTTTACTGATTACAGCCGATGTGCTGTAAGCTGTTGGTTTGCAATTGCACGATAACCAATATGATAACTCGATTAAACCGATATCACTGAGCAATTCTGTGACTCGCGTAAACAATTGTCTTTCGCTTCCTCTTGCGACTGAAGTTTCTCGTTGATTGGTTTTTGTTCCCCTTGGACGATATTCATTTGAAATCTCTCTGTAGTTCTTTTCTGCTCTTCTTTGCTCCTTTCGATTACTTTCACAAGCGTATTAAACGCAATTTCAAATTCACGGTATGGCTTAAAAGTCGCTGCATTTGAGAAGCTTAGAACATTATCCAAGCGTTGTTGCGTTAAAGATCTAGAATCTATTGGAGGGAGAGAAACGTGCGGACTGTTCTGATGGGTAATCTTGTTGCTAGGGGATGACAAACCTTTGATATTATCCTTGGATTTTCTCTTTTTTTTCTCGCCTTTCCGTTTTGTCCGCTTACCAAAGCTTTTGTTGTCCTTCCTGCTAAAACCACGAACATTCAGTTCTAAGTCGACTTGTAGGCCCTTTTCTGTCCTCGATAAAGTTTCTTTTGCTTTCGACTTCGGCAAAAGGAATGGAGGTTTTTTAAGACTACTCTTCTCCTCTGTGACACTTGGAACGGTTGGTCTTCGTAGTTGGATTTGAATGTCTTCGAATAACACATTGTACTTGTTTATTTTCGCCATTGTTTCGTGTTGGTGTCGAAGTTTGCGTCGTCATGAAAACAGATCATATCTAATCTTGTTAAATTTTCATTCCATTAGGCGTGAGCGATTTTTCTCGCTTTGTGACTGTTTACTTTCAGTGCAAACACAGCGTTCGTTAAATTGCGATGTTGACAGTTTGAAGATTACTTTGTTCGTTCAATAACTGTTGTAAAAATGTGTATTAGAAGTGTGTCAACCTTTCCATTAAATTTACAGAATTTGAGAAAAAAACGTTTTTCAGCAGGAAGCGGGGTGGATAAAAATCCTCGAAATAAGCTCAAAGCTTTAACTGCCAGAAGTGTAGTACATATTGCACCTTTCGAAACGGAGCAAGATATATGAAATAATTTGATGGTAATCTTCATTGACGACATTGCCTTAATCTCTCTTTAAACAAAAGGCTACAAATTACTCCCAATAGAAAACTGCAGCCTAAAACAGTTAATTAGTAATTACTCAAGGAGAACAACGTTTTGCTTGATGTGGTGAAAGCTTTTCAAAATAAGAAACCTGTGTGGTCCATCTGTACGTATAGAATACTAAGGTCTGTATTGACGACAGGAGCAAGTGATGAAGTTCACAGAGCAAAGTACTAAAGAGTTATTTAAAGTAATTGGAAGATGTTTATTTGACAAATGCGGCTTTTTAGCTTGGTAACATTGTAGACAAGAAAGTGTTGTCAACGTGCAAGATGACTGTGCTGTTAACTGTAGGAAAACGTCCGTCTGCATATGATGATCACATACATACGGTATGCAAGAAAGAAAAAGTTATCGTAAAGTGGGAAATAATCGATGCATTATGTAAGGAATAAACAGCGGTAATACAAACAAATACATCGAACAAGTTACTTGTTCCCAGAGTCTATCTTTCGCAACGATTTGGTGGGTGGAGGAGATGGAGGCACTGGGAACGAAGGTGGACACTGGTTGAGATCATTGACGCCTTTCGGTGAAGGTTTTCCACTAAACAGTTTTTTCATTTTTTGTTGTAAATTCTTTCTCTCGAAATCTTTAATCTAAATTTCCATGCGTAAGCACGAATGATTTCCATAGAAACTGCGATGAATCATTTTTTGGGGGGGAAGTTGTTCTATGTTTTCGGTTTCACACCCTTCACTATGTGCGGAAATGTACAGTTACTTGGTGTGATGCATCGTTGTGAGGTGTTGCATTCCAGTCTCGTCCCCGGAGCGTTTTCCACTGGTAACATTGCTGCGCCAAGTTAAAATACGACAATGAAGTCACGCCAGATGGTCATACTGAACAGTTCTCAGAATCACTGTAATATATTGGAAAAATTCCTTATGAAGCCGTCAGGGTTTTGAATGTTTTCATTTCATTTCTTTTTTTTCATTTCTAGTTGTTAACGCACATAAGTACTGGAAATATGATTTCCAGTTTAATTTTCCATAGCAGCCCCCAAAAGACTTAAAGTTAAACGAGTGTTTTTATGTTAAGTAAGTTTTTTTCGATTCTCATACGTTTACTTCGTTAAAAAACTACAGTACTCTTGTCTTTGCCAACCACGGCGCGCCTTTGTGTATCATTACACTTCATTTGTCTTTGCCAACCACTGTGCGCCATTTTGTCTTTTTAGACTACACTTGTCTTGTGTATCATTTCAATCCTCTTTTCTTTGCCTACTACTGCGCACCTTTGTGTAACAGCGACAATGGAAACTTAAGGCCTGCTGATGTTAAGTTTAGTATGAGCACCTTAGAGCTGATTAGCATTGTATTCAGACAAAAAAGCACTCTCTCTGATCCATAAGTTCATTAGTGTCTGACGTCTTTCCCACACGGACTTGTTGACTAAATGCATTTAACAACTAGGAGAACAGGATACATGACGACACCAGAAATGCTTTTGGATTTCTCTAGCATTTGCGTATCAAATGATCAAGAGAAAATATTGCTTCACTGGTTTAGCAGTGCTCCTCTCAGAGATCGCATCGTCGATTGAGATCGGTTAAGTAATCTGTAAGTGTGGCTTTACATTTTTTGCATAGATCAGCGTAAGCAAAAGCTTGGAAACACACCGACAAAACATTTTTTAACAGCTAGAAAATGACAAAGGAAACCATGACCAATTATAGATTCTAGAAATTTATTGTACGATGACTGCACTGTGAATCACGGAAATGGAAAGAAAAGAAGAGACTTGCATACAACCAATCGTAATTAAAGTAGAGTTTGAGGAAATCAAAATTGAGTTATTCGTCCATTTAAAACAAGTGGCAACCGAGGAATTTCTCTCTCTAAATAAACTTGTTCAAAAGACTTATGATTTGTTCGAGTTTTTCCCCTACGATTGCCCTGAATCCGTTTTGAAAAGCGTTGAACAATCCTAGGAGGTCTCTGGTTACTATGAACTAAGCTTGGAAGTCTGTTGTTTTTTTCTCTTTCTTTAAACAATGTTTCGCGTCTCTGAAATGTTTCAACTTTATCGCCAATAAACTTTTTGTTCTGTTTTATTCCAGGAAGGATGAGTTTATTATGGAGTGATTCCTTCCTATTGAAATGACTCTCCCCTTCAAGCGTTAAAGTTTGAATTACATACCCTGACGTTTTTTCGACCTGTTCTCTGGATTTGTCTTCATCGCTTTCTCCTTCAACCTTTTTTTCATTGTCTAAGTTTAAAACACCATATTCCCTGTTTACTTGGGTGTTATTCATGTCATCCAAATCGTATATACCTACAAAAGATACGCTCGCAAGCGTCTTTGACTTCTCAGAGGAGGTTGAGGTAATGTTTTCTTTCCTGTGATTTCCGTCGTTTCGAAGTGTCGTATCGAGTTTCGATTGACCACAAGCGTTTCTTGTCAACTGCTTCCGTTGTTGTGATTTTGTTAAATCTTTCAAAGGCGGCAAAGCCGATCTATGTTGACCTTTAGTCTCCTTGGATTTCGTTTGTACTCCTTCATTCTCAATAGAACATTCAGAACTTTTACATCCCTTCTTGGCCTCGAGTTTCACTGAAGTTCTCTCGTAAAAACTGTAATGATCATCACCAACAAGACTGAACTGAAATCTACCTGATTTTATGTCCTTGACCTTTTCTGTAAGCGAATTCATTTCACTGGCGTTAGCTGTGTTTTCTCTGCCATACCTTTGACAGTTCTTGCCTTTACTCTTTTTTTTTCCGCGCTTATTCTTCATGAGAATTTAATTTTAAAAAGACCCTTTTCTAAACCGGCTTCAACTTACTTGATAAAAATAGCACAATGTTACTACAAAGGTTCTCTAAACCGCGCAGTCAAGTTGGATCTCTCTCTTACTTGATTGTTTCCCTCTGAACTCGAAAGCCCACATCTTGCTAATCACTTCAGTTCTTTCAATTTATTTCCTTTGTCCTGCCCTTGTTTTGTCAAAATTGTTTTGTACTCCAATCTATTCTGCACTTAATGTCCTCCTCCATGTAATGCAATGAATCCTTAGGTCATGAAATCCAATTCTCATTAGTAGATTCCGCAAGTCTTTATCTTTACTTGACTTGACGAATCAGTTCAATAAATACAAACCAGCCACCTCCTCCAGACATATCACTTTGTGTATGGGCGAATTGTTTCCGTTTGACCTAGTTCTGAACTCGATAGCAACGCAAACACAGCAAGTGCATCTATTTACACATGTTAAAATCAAAGTGTCTGAATCACAAGAGACCGATTACAAGTAATAAAAAACGTTCCTCATTGGACAAAAGCACAATGGGCTTTAGTGGCAAGGTCAAGTGAAGTGACACTAATATTCCTTAGTTTAATACAATCATCCATACAACAAAAGATCGGTAACAAGGAATAAACGCTTAGTTCGTTAATATGGAAATTGAAACTTTAAGGGCCGCTTATTTAAACGAGATCTAACCCAAACCGCGCTTTTACGCAAGCAGTGGGCCTCGGTGACTCTCCATAAGGGGGTTGATTTGATTTAAATAGATGTCCGTCTACTTTTAGGTATCGGCCTGTTGACGCTGTTTACAAAAAATTGATTCTTAGATAAAAGGTTCGGCTAAATTGAAGAAGGCTTAGAATGCGGTTTTGTCAAACGACGGTTAAAATTTGTTTAATTAACCGGCCCTAAGTGTTCCACCAGGGGAAGTAAGTGTTGAACTGACGAACCGTAGAGCATAATTAATTACTTCAATTAGGTTTTTAGTCTTTATTCAACGTGAAACACTCGAAAGTTGTTCAGAGGTCAGTCAAACTCCTTAGACGTGAATCATCTGTGCTTAAACTCCTGTCACTACCCCTGCAAAGAAGGTTTGTCGTTGATGGATGCGAGAAAATGCATTTACCGTTAAAATTAACGACGACCTCCTACTACGGACTGTGTGCGTGACTGAAAAATGCAAATTGTTTCTCTGGCACCTGCTACCTTTGTGTCTACTAGCCAATTTTCGCGCGCCGCTTTCCGCTCGTCTCCATCAACTGAGAGCTCGGCACGGGCTAATGGAAAACAGCACAGATAACAACTGTATCGTGTTTTAAGTTATAACATGTTACACAATATCTGTTTATGGCTGCTGTAGTGAGTTTATGTATAATGGCGATTTAAGCCATTCACGTACCCAGAACCACTCGTTTTCACTTAATACGTTAGGTTCCCTCGTTTCCCCCACTTCGAGTACACGAGAACGGATTCAAGGCTTTGTTTGTGCGCAGGTGCCATGGAATTCACCATCTTGTCCTATCTTGGTAACTTAAATCTGATACCTCCGATTATGCAGCTACCATTTCTCTCACGCAATGTACTTTTAGAAATATTGTTAATTGAAATTAAATGCACTCGAAGGTGATGATATCGGCTCGAACATTAAATGATACAAAATAAATACCGATGAGGTTTTTCTTAAAACGAATCAGCTTCTAACATCGTATTCAAAACGTGTTTAAAATTTAATAATGGTGAAAATTAAATAATTTCTGTAAAACTAGTCAAAAAGTTGTACAATATCTGGCGTTGTTGGCTTTCCGCAGGTCAGTGGTGGCAGCCCATTGTTATTTTTCGAAGTGTACATAGAGGAATATTTTCTCTCCCGTTCTACTGCTGGTAGAAGCCGTTCATCGTATAATTTACGACCCGTGCAAACCAAAGGCTTAGAAGGTACTGTAACCCCTGTCAACATGCCCAGGGAACTCGAAAATGAGTATGTGCAGTGACTTTGTATGAGTGAAGGCTCCTTACTGCGGGCGTTAAACGTGAATTCACCTTTGTGTGCTAACTTAGAACAGGTTGACACTTTGCAAAGCAAACTACCCGGTTTCAGCTGCTTCGTGTGTAAAGAAGTTGATGGAAATGTGGTCAAATTTCGTTTAATGAAAGACTTTTTGCATTCTGGATTATCCCGTTTATCTTTGATCTGTTTAAATGTATTCGCTTTCTTATAATCTCGTTTCTGAAAAACTTGGAATACGTCAGTGATGCTTTGAGCCTTAGCACTGTTTTTCCAATCAAGTCTTTGGTCGCTCTTCAAGTCTGGAACATCAATGTTTTTTGTTTTAATATTTTCGGACGGTTTTGGCAATGAATCAGCCACTTCTTGTGTCGTTTCATCTTTTAGCTCATAAACCTCTCCCGTCTCCTTGTCAAATTCCCTCCAGTATTCCAATGGCCACGAAAATTGAACTTTCCTTTTTGTTTTAAGAGGGTCGCTGTTTACATCCGGTTCACTAAAGCTCTCACTTTCCGCGCAGTCCACTTCTTCTTCCTCGGTTACAGAATGAATTTCCAACATATATTCTTCAGGGTTTACCGAGCGCCACAATTTCCACAAAAGTGTTTGACATTTCCTCTATACAACGTTTTCAAGCTTTTCAAATCTCAATTCGAAGCGCCAGTACAAGCTGACTGCTGCATGACTGTATGTTATTCAAAGTGAATTCTAACGGCGCAGTCAACTTAGGAACGATGTTTGTTTGTCAGTTTCTGTGCCTGTGAATCGTAAGAGTATGGGCAAAATTCCTCTGAAAATAAAGCATTGAATTAAACAGATCTGTCTCTTCGACACAGTATGGCCACACAACTAAATAATCTTTTGTTTAGAACAAAAGCCACCTTTCCACACATCCTCGAATCATGGTAATGCTGATACTTTCCACATCTCCAAAGGTAAAAATAGCTTTCGCTTCCGCTTTAAACCCTATTCGATGGCTTTTGCCCGGAGAATTGTCAGTCAAAACCTTAAAGTGTAGTAAGGAAGAAGCGTCGAATTTTTCTCAGTTTAAGAAAGCAACGAAGAAAGAGAGAACACGGGTACGGCGTAATAACCCAAGCCACATGCGAAATAAAACATAACTGATGACTTTTATTTGTCTACGCAAAAAAAATGCATCTATTACAATCGACAAATGATTAACATTTGTAGATTAAAATTTACCGCTGGTGGGTTGTTTGTAAAAGGCTGCATATTTATTTCAACGATCTTTGGTATATCAAGAATATTTCAAATAAATAAAATAATTAAATAACTCGTATTTCACGATTTCAGAAATAGACAGAAAGGACACAACTATATGGTATAACTCAACAGTTTGTGTTTTAAAGGTCGGTTAACGCACAGGAATAAATGTTTGCATCAAGCAGTCTACGTAACAACGTATCACAATTGTTTCACTAACAGCCTGTCAACACGCTATTAAGTTTTATTCTTACGTTGTGTGAAACGCAAAAAGTAAAACGAAAATATGAAAATTAGCTATGAATGAATACATTTCCGACTGATGTTCATTTCAGGCTCTTCGAAACGACAAACGCACCTTGAAACAAGTCGATCTTGATTGACATTCGCTCTCAGACTAAAATTAAAAATGGCCCTCAATTTACACATCTATAAGACCTTAATTAAAGGAATCCTTGACGAAAGACTGTTTATTATTTTCGTGGCTTTTTGAATTAAGTGGATTATTTCCTAAGCGCATTTGTTGCAAATGGATTAGTCTCGCATCAGTTTTGATCAAACTTAGCAAAAAATAAATTAATTAATCAATTGAAAGAGGCTTTTACTTTCTTTTTTTTTCCTTTTTTTTTCTTGGTTTTGTTTTCAATTTTAATGTCAGATATGGTGTTTCAGCTGACTGCCAAATCTGGAGAATTTTAAAATCTCCCTTCGTGAGTCAATAGCGAAACTTTGCAACCCTGTGCACTAAATGTCCTGAAAATGATCAACATGCGTTGTTGAATATAAAAGAAGAATTCGTAAAACCAACAACCGGCAAAAATGGAGAAAATTCTGTAAAACCACAGCTACTGTTTGGTCCAGTGTGGAACAAGTAAACCCAGTTTGTGTTTTTACATGGCATTTTTTAGAATATTCTCTTTGTCCTGTGCTGTGTTGGTCGAAAACCGTTGCGAGTTATTCAAGAAAAAGTCCTCGAGTTCTTTTTTAATAAGAGTCTGAATTTGTTCACGGAGTACGTTTCATACAGTTAACCTTATATTGGGCATCACAAAGTGTCCTCGTAAGTTAATGGTTCCACCGGAAGACACTGATGGGTCGTCCTCAACCGAGATCAACCGCTTTAATTTGGCTGGATTTTCTGCCCTTGTGTTCGTCAAAGCTTTGGGAGTGATAAAGCCTTTATCGTCTCGTTAATCGTCTCTTACAGTAATGTTGCAAATGTTGAGACGATTTTAGCCCTAGTGTAAGCTTCTTACATCATATCTTTGCGTTAGTTTGAACTCTGAACAGAACTAAGACACAGCGTGGCTGCCAAGCTTAAGCTTCCTAGTTACCAGTTTGTTTTCTTATGTTTTGAAATGATCAGCCGTTGCTATGAAATTGCTCCCTAGCTGTTAACATCTGTAAAGCTACCGGTTTGATTTACGGCTTTGAAAGAAAATATTGTCCAATACATATTGGGCTAAAGACATATGCAATTCTCAAAGCAGAGGCATCTAATAATCAGATGATAATGTCGAAAGGAAAAGGGCATATTGGACAAATCCGTTTCCAAATAGAAGTAGTCCACCGTGGAAAATTAAGTGCAAGACTTAAATTTATTAATTGGTATTTCATATGTTCGTTTAGATCGACGCTTGAAGTCAGAGCAACAGGTGTGAAAGCAATTTAATAACCACACAGTCTTCGATTTTACAGTTTTGTTACGCAATTTGAGCACTCCGTCATCTTGACAATTATGACAAGAAGTCGACAAACAGTACGAGAAATTTTATAATGTATAATTACAACCAGCTTGTCATGGACAGATGGATTAACTCACGTGAGCTTCATTGTTTTATCTGTTTAACGACTGGAACTTGCCTTTTCTTTCAACAATCCTTTCAGGCAACGAAAACAGGAAAAAGCGAATGCGCCATGAATTTAATCATCCGTTTACTTCTCCTTAAAGCTGCTGGGATGTATGTTGCGCCGTGTTAGCTTTGTCACTTCGGGTGGTATTCAAATCACGGTTGAATCAAAGAAAGGACTTGTTTACTGTAAAAGCAAACAATAAAAGGCTGGTACTAAAATGCCAAGATGTTAAACCTAGTTACTGTAATTTAAAGTCGAGAGACAATGATTGAATTGTTTTCATGGAGTAGTGTGAGGTAATGAACTTGAAGGCAGCATAGTAATGCTAATTTTCGTCCTCGTCTTTTGTTCTGGTTTTCTGACGCGTGGAAGTACAAATCACAAAAGTGTACGCAAAGCATACAGTTGTTGTGAGGGTTAGGACGATTGAAAAGAACCTTGTTATGACCAATTTTGTCCGGCTATGAACTTCCGATCGTAAAGATGATCCAATTCGCAAGTTACATCGACAGGCAAAAGTCCGGCCCGGGAAGTTCTGAAAAGTCCCAAAAAGTACACTCGGCTAATTGGAAAGAAGAAATACAGCTTAAGAAAGAGATGGATTGTTTAAATAAACAGGAACAGCAAAGAGTTGCCAAAATATCGTCCGATCAAAGACTTGTTGTACATCGATTTCAACGTAAACTCTCCCTTAGCGTAGACATTGCAAAGAAGCACGACGAGGTTAAAGAGAGTTTAGACAGTAATCACAAACGCGCTCGGGAATTACGGAAACTACAGAACGAAAACAATGATACCAACGGTGAAGAGAGAATGTCTTTGAGGCAGCTGCGCTGTTTAAGTGCAAGCCCTAAGCCGCCGTTGCCGAAATTTAGAAGGGCAAAATCATGCGAGCCACCTCGCCTAGACAGCGCTGCATTATATGGCGAAGAGCCGCAATGCTTTACAGAAAAACCCGATCTACCGCCTCGACCGATGACAGCTCTGGAAAAGCGAAACAAAATGTGGGAGAGACAGCTTAAAACTGTAACTCAAAGACTGAACCGAGCAAGAAGCGCTCCAGCGAGAACGTCATATTATAAAGTCCCAGAGTTTAGCGTAATGCAGAGAAATAACGCCCGAGATTCCAAAAATGCTGGTCAAAAACAACGTCGACATACTTCTTTAGAGATTGACCTGGAATATTTTCGTCGAGTGCGTGAAAAAGAGCTTTATCTCCAGAGACAAGCTGTAAAGAATTTTATCAAAAGTATCGAGCCTTTAGAATTGGTTCAATGGACGCCAGGTCACGAACCGACTGAAAATAACAACGAGCGAGAACTTGACTCTGTTGTTATGACGGCAGTTATGCTAAACAAACAGGACGTTGTGAACGTGAATAGATCAAAGACGCGTTCAGTAGGTTCTTATAACACAAAAGATGTATCCATTGTGGCAACAAAACGAGGAAACGGTGAAGAAAGAAGTACTAATATGATTAACAAAAAGAAACTGTTCAATGCCTGGAGTTGAGATGGAAAATTAGGCCACAATGCGTTTATATCATGACTCTGATTATTTATTCCTCGTTGAGTAAACAAACAATTAGATGAAATTTTTTAACTATGTGTGAGTGTACTTTGAGTGAATATGTCGACCTAATTATTGTTCAACAAGAATTTTATATCTAATCTGTGAAATAATTTGCATATATCATAGATACAGTTGATCTTTGAAGTTGACAATCACAGTGCAATATATAATTAAAAGATAACCTGTACATTCAATGTCGCCGAGACACTTTATGTTATCTAAACTTTGCACCTTGGTCAAACTTAGATTACGTTAGTTAACGGACTTACGAGTTTATCCATGAAATATAAATGGCACGATATTTTATAAGTTTCAAATCATACTGAAGAAATCATACTAAAGAAAAATCAGAAAAATCTGTTTAGTATGATGCGCGCATTTAGTATTACGATGAAAGTAAAGAAAAACACTGCATTTACAGTCATTCACAAAGCGCAAAGTTGGACGCCTCAATCCAAGGATACCTCACTTTGAAAGAAACCCTAAATTAATAATATCTACTCGATTTAGCTCCCTTTTTATTACACGGAATTTTAAATTTCATCAATATATTAATGTTCCTAAGCATGAACCGAAAACATGAAAGACGCTCATTACAGGAAACGGACCAATCAGATTTTGAGTTGCCATTTCGTTTCACACGTCTCCGTTCTTTGATAGCCTTCACATTGAAAGCGCTGGATTAACTTTGGTAAATTAATTGATCGTTAACAAAAGGAGCACTTGATTACTTTCAAATCAATAGGAAAATTAAGTGCTAGGAAAACAGACTTGACAATCATAGCAACTACTTCTATTTACGAGTGTCAAACAAGCGCATGTTGCGAGCAGTAGATTATTGACGTCGCAGCTTGTATGATTTCCACCAATGGCGTACGTTGTATCCGAGAAAAGCCAGATTTCACCGTTTAACGTTTTGTTGGGAACAATCTCAAGCCAGCTCACCCGAGAAAGTATACGCAAGATTAAAGTACAGCTTCGCGGCCATGTTACAAAAGAACACCTCGGCAAACTTAAAGGTGGATTCGATGTCATTCACATTCTTCAAGAACGAGGATTAGTCACTGAGAGAAAATTGTCTTTCCTGCGAAAACTTTTGCAAGACTGTGAATTGTTAGCACTTATCGAACTATTGGATGAATATAAACAAGCTGTGCAAGTTATGAATGGCAAATCGAAGGAAGGTAATTAGTAGATAACGTTAATTGATATATCGTTGTTTGCTGATAGCAGTAAAAACCGTGGTGTTAACAATTTTGCGTGTCAACATCAAATAAATAGGTTGTCCGCAAGATCCACAAAGACATTCGTTTATGAAAAAAAATTGTGTCGATAGCGTGGAATAAACACTTATTCTTCGAATTTAAACGATACCACATGTTGTTAAGTAAAAACCACAAGAGTGATTTTAAGCCACAAATGAGACAATACGCGGGGGCAAATTTGTTGTTCGATTATCCATCATGTAACTTCTAATGGGTATTATAAAATTTTGTGCAATCTCTCTATTTCCACAACCCTTATACCTAACTGCTCCTGATGAATGTGCTTGTGGACAAGAAAACAAATGCTAAGCTGAGCTTAATGAAAAATTAAACAGCTAAAGTTAAGAAATCGAGGCCGAATTTATGACATTAAAGTTCACTTGTGGGAATGTCAAAATGTTTCTGTCGGTTCCTGCTCCCACACATTCAATACATTTTCTACTTAGAGGTGACTTAGAATGTCGGGTGGGATTCTCCAAATATCGTTTAATCCTCATAGCCTATTTACAGGTAAATGTGTTGCAGCTTATAGGCGGAGTTGCATCATTCATCAAAAGAGAGGTATCAGTACAGAAATAGCAGCATTAAGTATTCATTTTTTCCTCTTTTATCCCCAAGGTGAAAACAGCGCCACAATCACTCGCAGAATTAACGCCCTGCAGCGGCTGATGGGAAGGCAGCTGGAAGAATTGGCGCATTGTTCCTCGCGGGGAAATGATTTGAAGAAGAATCTTGAAGAAAAACAAATGTTACTTGATTCACAGAAAGAAATTCTGATTGTGGGTCAAGAAGCTGTCGATCGTATCCTGGAGCAACGAGAAGTGGCGGAACAAGAAAGAAGCGTAGTCGAAGAAAGAGCACAGGAAAATGAAGCCATGTTTGAAGCCCAGGAAAGAGATCTAAATGAATTGCAGAGCCTGTTGGGAACGAAGGATAAACAGTTGAAGAAATCTGGACGAGGAGATAAGAGGAAAACTATCTTTGAAAAACACACCAATGAGAAAGCAAGTAAGACTTTGCAGACGTTAAACAAACAAAAAGACGAAAAACAAGAAACCTTGAAAAAAATGATCAAATCCGTGGACGATATTAGGGTTCAGTTGTTGGCAAAACGCGAGGCCGTCAGACATCATAACGAGGCCACATTTCTAAAAACGCAAGAACTTGTGAGTGTTGACCAATGTATTTTGGAAACGATGGAGGATGTTAGAAAACTGAAGCAGGAAATACGAAAGAACGAGTTCGAACTGTCTGATTTACAGTATCAAATCAATGAGACACAAGAAGAACTTGAACGAACTAGAAGCAATGGCATGGCAAATAAAGCTTATAAAATACCGCTCTGGAGATTAGAAAACACAGAAAAGCAGAAGGCAAAGGTAAATCTGACAGCGACCTGGCAATTTACGCTTTTGGACCTAAACTGAACAAGTTATAGTTTTGATTTCAATAATGTGGATTTTGACTTCGAGATTCTATCTGGGAAAAAAAAACTGCCGTCACAATTATATCGTTTGATCGAGTTTACTGTAAAAACAAATGTTCCCATATTGCTCTGATGATAACTAGTGGTAATCGAGCATAGAGTCGAGGGAATACAGCTAATGGGTTCTTTTTTTTTTTCTCCCGACAGAGTTTGAATTATTCAGAAGTTCTCGAGGAGAATTCCTATTCACTTGGCTCACTGGGCAGTCGTACTGTTTCCCTTCAGTTCGACTTCCCGTGCTGCGTAGCAAGTCACAAAGGACTAATCTATACCGCTGATCGAACTAACTGCCGTGTTCTGGTGTTTGACTCTATGGGGGAGCTCGCTCGGGAACCACTTGAGTTTGGAAACATGGGCCCTGTAGCTATTGCAGTCAATAAACGAGGAAATATAATAACAACGGACTCGCAGATAATAAAGGTTTTTAGTTCGGATGGGGCATTATCGCATAACTTTCTTCCTGTTTACAGCAAGAGGGACACAAGGCCAGAAATCTCTGCGCTGACTGTGGATCGCGACGGAAACATATTGGCGGCCGATCGACCGAACCACAGAATACAAAAATTTCGTATTGATGGTCACTTTTTAGGTTTTATTGGTGGTTCAATGTACCTCCAATATCCCAGCGGTGTAGCGATCACGAAGAACAATGATGTTGTGATCTCTGAATGTGAAAGTCACCAGCTGAAAATCTTCCATGATTACGGAAAGTCTTTTACCGTAGTGGGTCGTAACGGGGCTGGCAAAAATCAATTCATGAATCCCAGAGGGCTTTCTGTAGACAATGTGGGTAATATTTTAGTGGCTGACAGCTTGAACCATCGTATTCAAGTGATAGACCCACAGGGGAATTTCATTGGTAGTTTTGGGAGATTAGGATCAGGACCCGGATGTATTGATACTCCGTATGCAGTATCGGTGAATCGCCGAGGTCACGTGATTATTGCAGACAGTGGTAATCACCGTGTGACGGTTTTTACTTGATACTGTTACTTTTGATGTGAGAGAGCAACTAGCTCCGTAAAAACCTCATTGAATTCTTATTTAGTACTAAAATAGTTTTTTAATGTCATTTTAGGTCTCATTCTTGTTAGGTAAAAACTATTAAAAAGGGTAGTTTAAATCAAGGTTCTTCTGTTTGTCTCATTCCCACCTTTTTATTTTTTCGTCTATTTCCTCTGTATGTTCAGTTCTTTTTTATTTATTCCATGTTCTCCATTTACAATAAATTAACATTACTTAAAATACAAATGCTTGTTACATTTAAATCTCTTATTAACTCACCCACCCCACTCCTCATTTTTGACCCTGAACCCCCTAACGTGTAACTGAATCTAATCACAACCGCTTTACCATGAAAGGTCTGAGTACGAAACAACTCCTTAACCATCAACTACCGTTCAATTTACCCCTGATTTTCCATCCCTACCCCTAATCCCTTGTTCACTCGGTACCACTCTCTTTACTCTTCATTTCCCCACGGCTCAACTCTCAGTCTCCCTTTTTCAATCCTTGATATTCCTTCATCCTCCGTACGAACACCCTAATTGCATTAAAACAAAAAAAAAAACCAAACAAACAAACAAATATTAGTAATACAAGTGTTTGTTTGTGCAGGAGCCCATTACTAGTAATGGCCCTTGCGAGAACATATACTCTGAAATGATAAATTCTTGTTTATAAAACAGTTCCTCAGGTACGATCCATGATCCAGCATATAGAACTCCGGGATAATTATTTTGCATATTTTCCTAATATTGTTCGAGTGAAGCATGGTTCGAGAAGAATCAGTGACTCTACACGGGAGGGGATAGTGGGGCACGGTTACCAAGGTAAACAAATATGGCGTTCAATCCAGCGGGAATAGAAGCTTTGTCTGAACTTTTGAAACCTCCAAAAGACGATGATTCAAGCTCTGATGTAAGTTGGTTAAAACTAGTTAAAATGGCGAAAGTTTGAAGGAGAAGAGCAGCGAGTTTCAGCGTATTTGCAGCGGCGAAATTTAAAACGAATTTGTGTTCATTATGACACTGCCTACCTTTATCAATAAATAGGATGAAAATTTCTCGCCAAAGAAATCTGCTGCTGTAAATCCTGGAAGCATTGGGCCTCCAAAGAAACAAGAAAAACCCGGTAAGCCCTATGTTCTCTTTACAATGTCTTTCGAACGATCAGTTTGACTTTCCATTACAATGGACGTAGCAAAAAGTAATCAAATAGCTAGGTAGGGATCGAACTTAAGAGAAATGCTCCAAATGACAGTTTTTTGTCTTTTTTGTGGTGCTTGTTTCCTTCTGCCTCGAGATCAGCAACTGCTGTGACTTAAAAGAATACAAGGTGTAGGTCTTAAATAGATAACTCAGATTTTGATCTATGTATTTCACATGGCCGCTGACCTGAGCTGGGTCTAAGGCTCTGACTAGAAAAATTACTACTGCGGATAACTCTCACATTTCCTTCTTCTTGTAATGCTATTCTCATTAACAAGGTGGTTCTCAAGTTCCTAACTCTCAACAAGCAGATAGCAGTGATATCTGGAGTGAGGAGGAGATACCTGAGGGTGGACAAGGAGATGATGAGTTAGATCCAAGACCTGCTCCTGAGTATGAAACAACAAACCGACTTGTTGTAAATAACTTTTAGTGAAAATTAATCAAATTTTCTTCTGACCACTTTGCCAATATAAGACTTGATTGAAAATTGTTATTTCCATCAGCTAACAGCCATGATTAACTCGTTCAAATCAATTATCAACCCTCCAAAAAGTTTGTGAATATTTAGACTCCTAGGGATTTGTCACTAAGTTGACCTCAGCAAGTTGTTTAAGGATGTTGGCAAGTTGACCAATAGTATTGCAGTATTGGTTAGATGGTTTCAATGGTAACCAACCAGCACACAGTAACTGGTAATCACGCATGATTGTTTAAAATTAAGAAACTTTGATAGGATGTCAGGGCATATTGAAATCCTTTAAGGAGGATGGTTTCTGAATGTAATGCTATAGACTCAACCTCAGAGGTCCGGTTTAAAGCCCTGGCTGAGGCACTGTGTTGTTTACACTTACTCTCTGCTCTGAAGAACAAAATAAGCATTTTGAGGAACACTTGATGAATTTCTGGGAGATTATGAAACTGTAAAAGTACTGATGCTGCAGATATTTGACAGAATAAGGAGTTTTGGTTCATGTGAAAATATTGACTGAAAAAAGATAGGGTATCACATTTATGAATTAATATACACTGTATTTGTTTACTTTTCTGTTTATTTAGTAGCAGTATAATGGAAATTAACATTACTTTAAAATCCCTTATTTTTAAATTCAATTTAGATATGAAATGATTTTTAAGCAAGCTGTAACCTCAGAGGATATGTATCTTCAAATGAGTGGTAGAAATCCATCCTCCTCTAGCTGTGAAGATTTATTGGTGAGAATCAGTCTAGCAATGCTGTGTTGTTAACAGAAATCTTTTATTACAAACCCCTGAATGGTTTTCACCCCTAACCAGTACTAGCAATGTGAATGGTAGAGGATACCAATGCAGCAAATATTGCAAAAATTGAGAAAAAAAGTCTGTTAAATTTTGGTGGTTCTACAGTATCAGTGTACAAGATGGATTATGAATCAGCCATCACATTATTTATTGTGAGAACATCAATCAAAGAAAGAGAAGCCAGAAAAAGAAAAATCAGGCCTAAATAGAGTTTGAACCCAGGCTTTCTGAGCACTTGTCCAGAGTTACTAGTGACTGAGTTACATAGCCATGTGTTGGTTGCCATGATATGTTAGGGTTTCTTGTTTCCTTTAAAGAAATTTGATCTCAAATTATCATTATAAGAAATTGTTTATGACCTGTACATGCAGTTGAAGCAGTCACAGATAACCTAAAATAAAGATTTAGTGTTGGATTAGGCCTACCTTCTACCCTCCCCCTCTCCCACTATCTCATTGTTTGAGAATGGGCTTTCTTGCAATTGTAAATCCTGGGTTGGACTTGTTTTGTTACTTAGTACAGATGCTAACTACAACTGTTTTCTCGCTTGTAGATAAAAATCAAGCTTCCAGACACAGAGTACTCCGATGTAAATTTAGATGTGACAGATACTTTTCTAGACTGTAGAACACCAAAATAGTAAGTCAACAAATAAAAATTCTCTTTCCTTGTCTAGGAGGTGAAAAAAAATCCCTCCTCCACCACAATCCTTCATTCTCCTTCCCTTTCCTCATCCTTACACTTGGACAATGACAGTTTGTGTTTTTCGATAATTTACAAAGTAAAGTTTCTCGGAAATGATCAACAATGTGTTTTCACTTCAATTTCAGTAAACTTGGAGTTCACCTGCCACACCCAGTGGACAGTAAAAATGGCAAAGCACAGTGGGACAAAAGTAAAAACCTACTGACTGTAACTGTTCGACTTGTACGGGAATATGACTTCCTCACACAAAGGTGATCAGATAGAATTCTTCTTGATGTATTCCTTTAGGACCTTTAATGCAAGGAAGAGGAGAGCAGCAGTAAACACTGTCTAAGCCACCATAAACCTGATCCAGCTTCAGGACAGACATTTTCACTCTTGATGGTGTTTGGTTAAGTTTTGCCCTCTACATTCCTGTTTACTATCAGCAACAGTAGGAAGGCTGTAAAGGATACATCTGCACCTTGATTTAAATCTAATTTCTGGATTGCTGATGACTCAACTCAACGTTTAAGAAAGATTTGGAGGGAAAATTGAAAGGATTTACCTTGTCCCTCAAAAAAATTTCACCATGAACATCTTAAAAATATAACGTTGGAACCCAAGGACTGAGTGCTTTGAGTTGAATGATGAATACTTGTACAATTGCACTGAACTGCTATAAGATACTATCACATTTATTTTTTTGCTGGAAATTGTATTCAAACTTTTGAAATTAGTGCAAAATTAAATAAATTATATTGCCTGAACTTTTTGTAGCCAGAGGGATTCTGCTATCCCACCCACCAACACCTCACCAATTCTTTAAATACTAACCAAGAAAAAAAAAATGTTCTGGTAGTTTTTCATTAAGAATAATACCAGTCTTGGTACAGTAAAGAAAATAGCAATGTGGTAATCAATAAAACTTTACTTTACTTCCCATGCTCGCTTAACACCTTAATTAATTTGAAGTCATGCAGGAAACATAGGCACGTACTCAAATCTGCCGGAAAATTACTCCTCAACTGACTGACACTAATTTAAATAAGAGTAATCAATAAAAATTTAATTTATTTCCCATGCTCGCTTAACACCTTAATTAATTTGAAGTCACGCAGGAAACATGGGCACTTACTCAAATCTGCCGGAAAATTACTCCTAAAATGACTAACACTAATTTAAATAAGAGTCGTGTTTAAATTGTGACTCAATAGATAAAGGCAATGTTAAAGTAACGTTATTTTATCCATCCTACACTGAAACAAAACAATCAACAAAGTCCTAAGGGATACTCAAAGTTCTAAGATGTTGCAGCATTTCTGTCGATATTTCTTCATCATGTCTTGAGCAACTGCTCTTAGAATATCGAAATAAGTAATCGTGACGAAGTAATAGACGTAGGAGGAAAAAAAAAGGAAAAAGATAACAGTTCTTTTAACTGAACTTATACAGTCCACTTAGATACTTTTTTTTATCCAAAGACCATTTGCTAAAGCAAAAAATGAGCCTCTACAAAAGCTGCATTTGAAAATGGCCCTAACTCTCATTAGAAATCTTCCTTCACAGAACTGAACGTTCATGACTGTCTAAAACGTGTTTTATCACGCCCACGTTTTCCCCGGTTCCTCTTCTTGCCATCTCGCTTTCCTCCTCCTCCCCCTTTGGCTCCGCCCTCTTTAGGCCCACGCAAATCCAAGATGTCTTCTTCATCAGCAAAGTCTTCATTTCCTTCAGGGTAGTCTGATCTTTCAACCGTTGTTCCCACACCTCGCAATTTCTGTAGGTCTACAATCACACGAGAAAATATCTACGGTTATAATTTTTCGCAATAAACAGCTATGAAATTCGACTTGAGCGCGGAACAAAGGAAAAATATGGTTCCGTGAGGGTGCTGAACTCTGACCTTCCGATTTTGTAAATATTTTTATATTCTCACCTTGCCTTACAATTTCCTGTACTTCCTTAATGGTCGCTCCCAAAGCCTCGACTTCATGCATCAAGCGGCCCGTATCACCCCACTCACAACGGGACTCGATATCTCGCACACATTCACCTACGCGTGCACCAACGTGGTCAAGCCGCTGGACATCAAGACCAAAATCGTGCGAACCAACCCTATTCCGTTCAGCTAGAGCATTCAACTCGTCACGAAGCTCCTTCTCAGCTTTAAACAGAGGCCAGATCTTCCCGACAAACAGCTGTTTGTATTGTTTGAACAAATGAAGCTGACGCCAGTGCTGACTCTCTTTAACAATGTGCGACTCGTAATTTCCACCCTCGGACTTGTCGCTGAAGCGCACACAGCATATACTACAAGCTGAAGCGTCTACCTTAAAACGCTCAAAGTGGAGTGTATCAGAGTCCGCTGACTGCTCTTCAACTTTATCGTACGGTGTAGTTTCCGGGGTTTCGCGTTTGATTCGACGAAACCATCTCTGAATTTTAACAGCTGCATTTTCACGCTTGGTTTCTAAAGCGCGCTCCTTCCTCTGTTCTTCCAGGTATCCTGTTGGCATCTGAAACTCCGATGGAGAGTACACATCTACGAGTGGCTCACTTGAGTCCGTGGTCTGCGAATGCCAAGGAGCCGGATCAGTGCTAAACGACTGCTTGAAGTAAGCAACATTCACCTCGGCAGTGAGAAACCCTCCGTTGCACCAACGAACTGAAAATAAAGCTTCGTTCCTTTGCGATAGTAAAGTTTGCATTGCGGTAACAACGTCTCGAACACCCTTGGCGTTTTGTACGGCTTTCAGTGCCCTCTGTACTCGAACGGGAAAGAGTGGGTGAACGGTGACACTGCGCAAGGATTGGATGAGACGGCCACATGGAGCTGCTGGGATACCACTACCGTAGTTACACAACATGGTCATAGCCAAAATCAGAATTCTCTCTGATTCACCTGACAGCCGTGCGCGCTCAATTGAACTGACACTGAAAGCACTGGTTATTAAGTTGAACCGACCGTGGACTTGTCCTGACATTAGCTGGACTGTGTACTCCAGTAAACGCTGGACTCCTCGGATTCCTTTGAAAGAAGGAATTCTCGCGGCTGTGGCTTCAACGATACTAAACAAGGAGGGGAACTTGTCTGAACCGTGTACTGCGTCCCAGAAGTCAATCAGATGGAGATAGCTCTCGGGTAGACAGACTGGATTCTCGTAGTCTTTAAACAAACATGCAAACAACGCCAGACACGAGACTAATTGGTGCTCAAAGACGGCACTTGTGTTGGCAGCGGAAGGAAAAGGAATGGAAGACCTCCATGCGATCACGCTGAAGAATCTCCTGATAAAGGAGTGTGCAGCATTCAAGACATCACCGTACATATGGAGGACAGAGTTACCCTCCTGAAACAAACGGAAGAAACTACGGAAACCTCCATGGTATTTGTCTTGGAGCATTCCATCGCAGGGCATGTTCCTCATTGCAAAGCCTTTTTCCTCTACGGAGAGCAGAGCCCCGATCTTGCCGGGTTGTCCAACCAGGTTAAGGATCCGTGAGATCTTAAAGAACTTGTTAGGGTTCACCCATCTTTGGCTTTCCTTTGTAATCTTCCATGAGAACTCCGCGTAACTGGACAAGCGCTCTCTGATAGCGCTATGCCTGCGAAGAAAGCGAACGTGTTCTCTACCAAGGAAAGAAATATGCAAGCCCATCTTTGGAAAGAGAAGGTCGTACAATTGCCGACACGCTTGAAAGTCTTGTATTTCACGAGTGAGCAGCTTTTGCGAAAGCTTTCTCTCAGGGACGAAGCGGCCAATGGCATCTGCGAATAACTGAACAAAGGCGTTCACATGAATTTGAGTGCACAAGGCAGTAAACAGCTTTTCAAAATGTGACTGTGAGAACTCAGCGTGATGAAACTGACAATGTCCAGGATTGCAACTCAAGCCAACAAGGAACTTTCGACAGATACCATGAAAACGTACACTGGATTCTACTCTTTGACCAATGTTCTGGACTAGTTCAAAAGCCAGGTCACACAAGTGTCTTGCAATTCGCCATCGTGCGGTTCCCTCATCAAGTACCACTTTGTCAACCTTAACTTCATCTTGGCTGTAAGGGACAGACGTGACGAACAGCGCACCACTGTTGACAAAAGCGCATCTCACGTCTGATTTATCTCCCTTGAAAACACCAAAATACGCCTCGCACATTTCCACCTTCTGAAGCTCCACGACACTTTTTTGAGGCTTATTGAGCGCCATAATAAGACCGAACAGTTTGTTCAAGCTAGTAACAAAGACACCAGGAAAATCAACAAGAGCAACATCTTCATTTGAAATGGTGAAAAGCTCGAGACATGCCTCTACCTCGCCACAAATATTGTTTACTTTCTTAAATAGCTCCCGGGCACTTCTGGCATCTTCCACATCTTCATTCAATCTCGCAAGAATCAGCAGACATTGCGCCTGACCGTTCTCATCGTTGCAATCTTCAAATAGTTCCAAAGCTCTTTCAGCAGATCCCTCAACCAAATCACGACGTTCATTAAAACAAGCATGATTCTGGGCACATCGTGCTGCGGACAGAAAGCACTCGGCTGCAAAGCTCTTCGTGTGTACAAACTTTACCGCTTCAATAAATCTGCCATTTTTGCTCAAGAGGTTGCCAGCATCTGTGTATCTGCCTTCATCGACCAGTGCCTCCATAGCTTCTTGAACACACCCGTGGTTCTCCAGAAAAAGGATTCGATCGTTTGTGGAAGGTAAACCCTCAAGGACGGAGACCATTTCATCAAGACGGCCAGAACTAAAATATGAACAGACCAATAAGAAGCTTAAGAGTCAAAGTTCACCCTCAAAAAATAAGAACTGTTTCAACTGACTTGCTACACTATATGAGAAAATAGAAAAAAGGCAACAAAAAGAAAATGATAATAATATATGATGAAAATTAGAAAAAGGTGTAGGAAACAACAGCACCATCGAACGATATTACAAATAAACTTCTATTAAGTTCTTGTTTCTTAACAAAACGAAAAAATAAGCAAACGGAAAGGCTGCTGACGGATCGTTTTCTGTCAATCAACTATTTTGAAATTCGCAAACGTATTGCAATGTATTACAATTCCATTGCAAAGTCAGACCAATTGCCCAAAATGTTACAGATCAGCCAAGCCAAATTCGCTTAGCCAATCAGTCAACGTTTTAAAACCTACCTGAAATGTTCTTCCGCCAGTTGATGACACAGTCGCTCCACCGTCCGTGACTCTCTGGGTGGACGGATTCCTCCTTTACTAGTATCAGCTCCCACCAGACTCTTGTACCGCTGTAAGGTATCGATAGCCTCCTTGTAGAGATTGCCTTGACACAGTACCTCCACCGCTTGGTGGTAATCATTAATCATCTCATAACACTGACTGGCTTCCAAGTAATAGCGTTCCTTCCTGAGCTGTTTCGCTGCGTCTTCAAACTATTGCAGACAATGGGATAAAAAAAACGGTGTTGTGGGCGATAGGAACAACGACATTGGCTCCCGTTTACTTCAAAGGCTGGTAAGAATACGCCCTAGCAAATCGCACTGAATACTTCGAACTCAAGATAATAGAAGTATCATAGAGATATCAACCATAGAATAATGCAAATTTAGGTAGAAAAGCAAGTTTGAGCTAATGGTTTAAAAGAGATTCGGATCAATATCAGTATCTGGGCAACTGCCCACCTACCCCTCCCCCTTAACTTGTTGTCAATTGACTGTTGTTGAGTTAGGGGAGGGGTAGGTGGGCAGTTGCCCAGATACTGATATTGATCCAGAGATTCAAAGAAGAAAGTTTGCACATCATTGCTTAAATCAATCACAATTAACGTCATTACAAGCTCACGCAAATAAAAGAACAAAAAACGAACTTGTTCCGGATGCTTATGGAAACAGTGTCTAGAACCATTCTGTGCTTACCTTTCCTAATTTCTTATTTAGTCTGGCGAGCAACAGTCTCTCGCGAGCATTATGCAAACACTTGGCGCCCTCATCCAACATGGCACACTGTAAAAACTGATCCGCAGCCTTCAGGAACTGTGCTCTCATCGCCTTAGGGTTACCTTTTATTTTACTTGCTTCAGCGGCCTGCAACTGGGCTTGACTCTTCTTTATCATAACTTGATCGCTGGCCATTGTGAAGCATTTTACAGCCACCTCCCATAGCTCTTTGTTATAAAAATAATGCCCTTGCTGGCACCACTCAGCTTCTGCTGACTTCTCCACGAACATACTGGTCAGCTGATCTGTTTCGTTAGCTTCACCTGACATGCGTATCACGCGAACAAGGCTACGCTTTTGGAAGTACTCAAACACTGGTGCCCGGGTTTCTTCGTCTTCATCAAAGAACCACACGTTGACCCTTGCGCGAGTAATGGCCGTGTACAAAAACTTGAACTCAGAGTTGAGCACCTTGTGTCTGTCTGAGTCAAAGTCAAGGGGACGCGATGTTATTTCTAAGTCCTCTTCAGCGAGTTCTATCAGTCCTGAGGTGTCTACGATCCTTCCTTCTGAGAGCTCTTTCATGTAAGAGGTCACAACTCGCCACTCTTTTTTAGCCTATGTATGCAAACAAAACAAGCACAATTCTGTCTGGGAAAAAATCAGGAGTCCTGCTTTGCTAGCAGGGCTCAGTGCACGCTGGAGACGACGAAGTATCACTGTAAAGTGCAGAAAGCACAAATTCTACAGACATAGACAGGTGTAACTTAGATTGGAGCGATACAGTTTCCACGCTTGCTTCACATGAAAATTTGGTAAGCATGTGATATTTGCCATGTGGATGGGAATGGGAAAAGTATTTGATAACCTTGTAAAAAATACTATCCCTTTGACAGTGTTCTTACTTGCTTTTCAAGAAATTCTGGAGGCTTTTATGTCTACAACTTGCACCCGTGTATGCGTTTTAGAACCTCGACGGCAATTTGTGTACGGAACGCCTGAATACAAAAAAATATTGCGGGACAAACAAAATCCGCCATAAATGGCAAACCACCGGTCTGGAACTCACCTGAGAGTCTTTGAAGAAGTTGTAAATTAGGACATCATCAAACTCCAAGCCCTTCGACTCGTAAATTGTTAGGATTAGAGCTTGTTTCAACTCATCGGGCATCTGATCCCGAGCTTCTTCTGAGGCCACAAGTATGACTTGATGTGCACCGAACTCAATTCTCGAAGATTGCCGACGATTTCCTCGAAGAATCATCGCCAGATCGCCGAAACTACATGACTCTAACAGCACAGGTTTAGGTCCTTCAAATAATCCTTGATCTTTCTCAAGGCGATCAAAAGACTCTGGAAAGTAATGAAGTAACAGGTCCACAACACTAGAGGCGAGCCGCAAAATCCCTGCATGCGAGCGATAGTTGTGTGTTAACTGATATAGTTTATTTGGGACCCTAACTCCCGACTGAAAGCCAAGGGATTGGTAAGACTGCTGCGAGTAAAAGAATAATGATTTCAAATCGTTGAATCGAAACGCAATTCCTCTCATAATACTTTGAGCCGTGTCACCGGTGAAAAAAAGACCGTTTGGATCGCGGCTACAACGGATCAGCAAACACAGTTCAGCTTGAGTGAAATCTTGAGTTTCGTCAACGTAGAACCGATGAACAGACCAATCAGGGACTTGGACTTTCTGCAGACGAGTGTAAATGTTGTGAACGACGTCAGCTTCGTCAAACATTCGCAATGATCGTTTAGTGTTCTGGTACATAACGAAAAGAGAGTAAACAACTTCACGATCGGCAGAGAAGTTTGGAGCTCGCTTCCTTCCAAGATCTGAATATTCTTCTAAAGTCAAGAAACCGTGTTCAGCATGCAAGGCCTCAACGGATCCCTTGATGAAAGATCGGATTTCAGTCCAGACTAGAGTTGGATGGTACTGAGCCTTAACTTTCTTCACCATTCTTGGCCACAGCTCTGATACGAACACAACGTAAGTGACCTCACGTCTGGGGTCAAAGCTTTTGGGATCCGACCGGTTACACACAACATCATTTGTGTCATTGACATGCACATCGTCTTGCTCCTCGACTTCGCTGTCAGAATCGTCTTCAATAGCCACCAAGTGACATTCTTCTTCTCCCCATCCGTAAATCTTTCTCAACAGACTGCCATCCTCGTCACGAGGAAAAAACTCGCAGCCAGGAAGGGAGGCATCTAATAAAAGCAACCAGTCACGAGAATTAATAAAAAGAGGCCACGCAGCATCATCGATATCTTGAATTCTGGACGGCAGAGCTGTGGTTTCCTTTTCCACGTGTTCCCTTGCGGCAGGACAAGCGTGGCTGAGCTCGGAAAAATTTTTCTGAACCTCACTGCAAAGCACCGAGTTTTTTGTAATAAAGACCTGATGCAGATGTTCATACTGGGCAGCTGTCGTTTCCTCAAACTCGGAAGGTTCTACTGTGTCGTCGCCTTCTTCGTAGTCTTTGCGCCGAGCATCCTTGGCTCTGATAAACTCGTCTGTTGGTGAGTGCTCTACAATGTCTTCTGTAACATTGGAACTTGACAACTGGAGGGGTAATTCCTCTGGCAGCTCACAAGCTGTGATACTTCCATAGGAATCAGCTTTGGGCAAATAGTGCGTGACTTTAGGGATATGAGGTCCTGCAGTGGCCGCCTTCTCCCAATAAAACTGAAACTCATTCCACAACCTGTATAAACAGCAGGTTGTCTTACCGGTGCCACTTCGACCGAGAAGAATGATAGGGCATGGTTGACTTTGACGCAAGTTGATAATAGCGTGCTCAAGCTCAGTAACTCTAAAGGGAAAATCCACTTTGGCTGTAGGGTTACTGTGAAGAACTGAGTTAATCAAGGGTGAGGAAAAGGAGTAGAATTTAAGAATGTGGAACTCCATATCATTTGGACTTGCTGGTGGGAAGAAGAACTGCGAACCTCTACATTTATCGGAGGACTTTTCAAGTTTCGTTGTCTTCGCTTGCGAGAAATCCTCTACTTTTTCAGACAGTTCAACAAAGAAATTTGGCAGTCGTTCGCCACTGGCATTTGTCACTTTATCATTTCCTTTCCTAAATCCAGACAACTCTTTTTTCACGTTACAACTCAATCCTCTATCATGAGACTTAACGATGCTCTCAACTTTCGCCATAAGGCCATCTCGGTCCGCTGCAACGTCCCATACACGAATAATTTCGGAATAAATTCTCCCAACAGATGTTTCCGTTTGTATTCTTAACTCAGGATCATTACTGCATTTGGCTGAAAACGCGACTGTCAGTTCCCAAATAATCCGAGAAGCTCGTGTTAATTTGGCCTCAAACAGCATGATATTGCGTTTTTTAGGCATTCCATCCAACCTCCTGCAAAGTGTATTTGTCCATCGACCCTCAGCCAGCATCCGAATCTTGCCGATAATACGTCGCTTTAAGGAATCACTGACGTTAGTGTTCTGTAGAGCTTTCCAGAATTGGTCTGTGCAGTCCACTTCCCATGGCAAATCTTCAAAAGGGGACTCTAGGTCTACCTCGAGTTCTTCTTCAGTTGCCTCTTCATCGTCCTCGTCATCTATAATTCTTTCGATGTCAGGGACATGATGTTCTTCCTTGTCGAGCCGTTCAATCCTAGGGTCATCTTTTGTAGTTTCAATTTCCGAGTTGTCCACAGCCCCGCTTGCATTCTCACTCTCGGTTTCCATCAAAGTCTCAACACTGATGCATTCAATCATGCTCTTGATGCTCGCACGAAGGTCATACAGAGGATCTTTCTTCACCAGTACGGCTACCGGCATGGGCTTTTTATCTCCAGCTTTCACCTTTACAACTTGATGCTTGCCTTCTGGTATATCCTGATCTGCAGCATTACACCACTCATTCTCTGCCTCTTCCTGAACTCCTTCCTCTCCTGCTGCTGTTTCGTGTCCAGGCACTGTCTTTTCTGATTGTTTCCCAACTTTCCTCTTCCTCTTACCACCATCCGACTTCTTGCAACTCTTGTAAGAGTTAATGGCCTGCCTGATCAACTTTGCCCGCGGGTCTTTCTTAGTTAGATAATCCAACGGGACCTTGCCGTCCGTGTTTTTTACGATTGGATTGGCTCCCGCATCTGTTAGAACACTGATAATTCCGCATTTCCTCCTGGAGCAATTTCCAAAGGCCACTAGGTGGAAGAGCGTGTTCCCGCTGCTATCTACCGTGTCAGGGTCAAACAGCTCAGAGTTAAGAAGGGCTTGAATTAGTCCAGTGTTCCCTGTAAGTACGACAATTCAAGAAACCAGAAAACTATTTATCAAGAAGAAAAGCTACTTTGAAAGCATAATCACGACAAATGATTTCACGTAATTTCTTATATTAAGAAAGAGTTAAGAGATACACTATAAAGCGCTAAGCGACCAAATTTTCCATAGAACTCGTTATACTGTACAGGGCAAAATCTACTACTGAAAAAACCTGGAAAACAAGGACTCCTGACGAAATAAAATATGAGGAATGACAAAGAATAAGCTGAAATGCGTTTAACGGAACAGTCTTACCTACCGGTTGCAAATGCTTGCCTCAAAGCTTCGTGCAGAAGTGAATCACCAGCTTTACTCATAATACACGCAGAGTCGGCGTGATACTGTAGCAATGTAACCACCATGTTGTATTCTTCATTCTCCATGGCTAGTTCCAGAGGGCATTTGCTTGCCTTGCCAAGTCCGTTAGAGGAGGCACCATTTTCCAAAAGAGCCGCAATGAGAGGAACCCGGTACTTTTCAGCTGCCCCAAACACAAGCTCAATAGGTATCCCGGATGCATCAATACCAGTCGCTAGGCCACCCTCACCTGGTGAATAGCGCTGAGGTCCTCCACCCCCAAGGTATAGGACATGTAACTTGTCCCACGCCTTTTTCTCTGACAGCTGCTTGATCAGCTTTTCCAGAGTTGGGTTTGATACACTGCACGTTATACTTGAAGTTCCATCTACAAGGGAAGCAAAAACAACAGGAAAAACAAAAACAATGAAAGAGCTAACTACAATTTGCTGAGCAACGGATAACTATCTGCAAGTCTCACGATTCAAGTCTTTAGCTAGGGGATAAGTAAAATAAGATCACAGTAATTATAAATAGAAACAGAAAGGCGGCCCATTACCTGACAGATTGAGGCCCAGATCCACGATTTGAGAAAGTATAGCAAACTTGTCTCCATCATTTTCTGCCCTTCTCAATCCTTCACCGAAGGCTCTTACAGCATCTCTATTCTGATCCAGGCATGCATGACAGAATCCTTGCCGCACAAAACCCTACAACAACCAAATTACAAATAGCTTTGTCTCCTCTGTAGACACTTGTTTGGATATAAAGCAAAACTGACGACGGTCAAAAATATGACCTACCTTGTACCACTCTGGCCTGAATCTTGTACAGCTCTTGGCGTCTGTAAGACCTTGTTGGTAGTTGCCGATGTTGTAATGAGCTAGAGCACGATTACACAGTAGCGTAGCCAGAAATTCCTTGTCGTTGCTTGGAACATATTGCATGGACAAAGTGTAGTACTCAACTAGAGTAGAGAATTCCTTCTCAGAAAAAAGCCTCTTGCCTCTCTCTTTCCACTTACTTGCTTCCGTCTGGTTTAAAGAGATTTAGACGCATTCACAAGATTAAGATCAATCCAGGCTCTCAGTCAGTGGAGACAAGTGGAAAAGCTGAAGGGTGAGGGGATTAACGTTTCCTCTGACAATCGCAAAGTAACATTCGCTCGCCGTGGTTCCTCCGCTGACCAAGAGTTTGGAACAGGCTAAAGCAAAGAATACTACAACATTCTAGAATATTTTCAGAAACGTACTGTACCTGTGATTTAGTTGGTCTAAACTTAAAGCATTCCCGGCCTTTCTCCACTGCCTTCACATATTGCTTTGTTTCAAAATATGCTGTTGCCAGAGAGTTGTTCACAATATAACTCAAATCTGCTGAATTGTTTGGAAACTGAAGAGCTAAATTCAACAATTTGATAGCTTGACTGTAATCCTTTGCACTCAAAGCCCTGACACCTTCATCTTTCCAGAAATGACCTCGACTCTGTAAAAATTACAAAAAAAAACCAAAACAACATTATAAACATCCCTACTGAGATGTAGTCATCATCCACGACATTTTATAACTCAGAATTCAAATTTAAGACTTTCAGGGCCCAGGAAATGATCTTGCAAAATTCAATCACTTTCCAGCTGAGCTTTTCCGTGACACATGCAAAACTATATTTTTTTTCTAGGTACTATTCGTCCTTGAGCATTTATCTGTTAGTACTTGAAGGTCGAACATATATTTCATCAATGTAAATTAAATTCATATAAGGGGAAACAATCGCTGATACGATATCATACAAAAACATAGTCACCTCACGGTGATGAGACCCTGTAACTCTTGAACAACAAATCCCGGATGGATCAGCTCCATGCTTCAAAAGGGTATAGGCAATACCGTAATGTTCCATCTCCAAAGCAACAGACAAAGGTGGGTTTTTAGAACCATGCAGACCATTGGCAAGAGCTCCATGATCCAGCAACACAGCAATAAGCTTATCACGGTCGTGTACAGATGACTCAAGCACTTGACTAATAGGAACAATTCCAGCATTACATCCAGTTGCAACACCTCCACGACCTTTGTCAAATGACCTTTGACTATCACCTCCAAGGAATAGCAATTGCAGCTTGTTCCATTCCTTCTTGGCGCAGACGTCTTTGATCAGTCTCTGTGCTGTGGCTCTGGGAATGCGACAGGTCATCGCAAGTGTTCCATCTTCGACAAACAAGAATAAAATAATTAGAGTTGAAACATCCTTAAAAATTCAAATGTATAGCCTCGGAAAGCAAGTTTACTGAGTGAAAAATCACACTAGCATTCATGGGTTTTTTAATCTCCTTAGTATCAAAGAAGGCTCCACAGGTAAGATGTACCCCATCATTTTTGAGGTTACTTACAAAATTTTTTCACAACATTGTGCGGAAGGCAAAGAGAATGTTGTTGGAAAGTCAACTAATGTGGGGTGATAAGAGTACAATATGATACAGACTGATTCGTGACCAAACTAAATACATGCATCACTAGAGCCACCTTGACAATCTTTTTACTAAATGACGATGATATTCAGTACCTTTTACATCCATAGCCGTAGAAATTATGTGAGACGCAAGGGAAAACTTGTCATCATCTGTCTCTGCCCTTTTAAGTCCATCACAAAAACTTCTGAGGGCTTCTAAGTTCTGACCAAGGTAGTTTAAGCAGGACCCAAGACGGTAGTATCCCTACAAAAAAAAACACACTCAGGAGAAGATTTTTGTTTACATGACAGGATTCTTGATAGCAGGACACACTGGAATACCAGGACATAGGATCACATGAACTCAAATACTCACTTCCAAACTTTAGTTATTCAATTATATACATTTACATCACACAATACTTTGCCTTTACGTACCTTAGACCACTGAGGTTCAACCTGAACACATCTCTCAGCATCTTCCTTTGCCTTATCATAACTCTCCAGGTTAATGTAAGCAGCACATCTATTACTTAACAAGACTGCTCTCATCTTTTGCACATTCTCCATGGTCTCTGGTATATACTTCATTGCCAAGGAGTAATATTGGACCACCAGCTCATACTTTCTCTCTTTGAACAGTTTATTTCCCCGTTCTCTCCATTTCTGAACAGACTCCTTGAAAAAGATCAACAATAAAACTCAACAGTCTTCTGGCATGCAACTGAAGTTTGAGCATGGCTACTTCATACTTTGTCAGGTTACCCTGCTAGATTCTGGTACTCATTTGTGCTCCCAAGTATAGAGTAGAGACACTGTCCATCTGCTCCTTTGTGGACTTAGAGCTCTGTCACAAAATTAACTTCAACATACAAATCTCTTACCTCATTTTTCATTGGTTGAGCATATCCTTTTTCTCCATATTCAATGCACTCTGTAAACTTGTAGCCCTCAAAACAGATGTCAGCTAGCACATCAAAACATTCCCTCTTGAGTTCTATGGCTTGTTCTGGAGCATATTCTAATGCTAAGTTGTAGCATTGGGAGGCTTTCTCTGTTTCCATGCGTTGGATCATCTTGTTAGCTTCTCCTTTCCAGAAATTTGCTTGAGCCTGAAATAGACCAATTAAGAAACCTTCAGAAACGTCACAGAAGCATGACATAGCAGGCATTACTTCAAAATCACAAACCCACTATTGCCAGTGTATTGCTTCACTTTATAAAGAGTGACCAAAGCATTTGAACCTGCATGGATAGGAAGCTAACCCCAGTTGATAGTTAAGTTGTCAAAATGTCAAAAAGACCAGTAGCAGAAGTACAGCAAAAGGAGAGAGGGGAGTAATTCTTCAACCTCCAGCCCCCCCGCCCCTTTCAAAAAAAGGATTAATAAATAAAGCACAGTAACATAGGAAGAGGACAAAGCTTTCTCTCACTTGATATACTGTGCACAAAAGAAAAAAAATTAATTCATTAAACATCAAAAACCTTTGAATGGAGCTGAGGCTGATTTGAAACACAGGCCAGTTGAGCACCCTCACTTATCAGCTTAGCTGCAATGTCAAATTCCTCCATCTCCAATGCTGTTAATAAGGGAGGCTTTTGACACAGTGGCAGTCCATCCACACAAGCCCCAAACTCCAACAGTACTGTCAAAAGGTTTGATTTGTAGGCCACACTTGATGCTATGACCAGATCTAAAGGCACTTGAGAGGAGTCACATCCACTAGCTAGCCCTCCTTCCCCAACAGGAGCATCATAAGGGCCTCCACCACCAACAAACAACACACCAAGCCTCTCCCAGTCCTGCTTTGATATTGCATCATCTACAGCTCTCTGGATAATGACTTGAGAGCAAAATCCTTCATCTACACCCATTGTTCCATCTGAAGTATGAAAACAAGACATATACAAGAGTAAACAATGGCTCAATCTAGCTGTGGAGTAGTAATTTAAGTTCAAGTACAATAACTTTGGGCCTTGCCTGCAAATACCAGCTTACAACCCAGAGGATCAACCTCTGCTTCATAAAATATTAAGTTCCCCTAAGACAATTGTTGTTGCTGACTGTGCCCTGTTTACTTTAAACTGATCTTATAAAAAACCAGCCATTAATCTGGATCTGCCTTGAACATATAGGTCTGGAAAAATGGCATCAACCAGTTTAATCATATAAAAAACAGGGTTTTCTATGTTGTGGCTACAGAGAAGTGTGAAGTAACAGGAGAATGTACAGTGTAATATATATGAGAAAAGACAGCCCATGAAATTAAGACAGAGAATTTTGCATACAAGCCAGAGCACTCTCTGATCTCTGTGACCCAATGAAAACCCTGTGAAATGGGAAAAAAGGTAGCACCCAATGCTAAATATCTACCTCTTGCCTCAGGGGCTACCGTGGTGATCTGTAGCAGAGTGTCATACTTCTCCTCCTCGGTTTCAGCAAGATCAAGAGCTGTAGCAAAAGAATGCATTGCCTCTGTATAACGCTTCAAACCAGCTAAGCTTGATCCCAGCCTATAATGTGCCTGGTATACAGGAAACAAAATTTATGCAAAGTGAGATTAAACAACGAGTTACACTTGGAAAGCTACATGATTGTATAAATTCTCTATCATTGCTCAGGACCACATCATGTGAAGCTTCTTTGAAATAAATTTAAAAAAATTTTATTTGCAATATGAGTCAGTGGTAAAAATCTCACAATGAAACCTAGATTATTGTGACTATTTATCAACTATCCTTGTTTTCAAGCAAGAAACTTTCATTCCTGCAATGTTTCAAGTGCATTTCTCATGGAGCTCTAGAAAGTAAAAGAACTTCACTGACACAATTTAAAACATTAATCAAACAATAAAGCTTCACAAATGGCAAGTGACCCCACATTTGATCTAATCAAACATCCTTTGTGAACTCACTTTTGACCAGTTGTTCCTAATCTTGACACAGCGCTCAGCATCCAAGACTGCCTCCTTATACATGTTATTTCTTATAAAGACCAGAGAGCGATTACACAGTAGCTGCGCCAGCAGTTCTCGCTCACTGGTAGGAGCATAGTTGATTGCCAGAGAATAACAGTCAACTAGCAGATCCAACTTGTTTTCTTTAAAAAGTTGTTTGCCTCTTTCCTTCCACCTTTTTGCCTCACCCTGCAATGGTAAAGGATGCTGCTTTCTGTCATTGCTATTGTGCAGTTGTGCTATTAGCCTCCTTTCACATAGTGAACTACTAAATGTTTAAAGCAAATGCCAGGTTCGGGCAACAGAAGAGGGAGCCAGGCCCCCTCAACACCATGCTGTGCTTTTTGCCATCCTCACACGGCTCCTTATTCTTACACAACCTGGGTCAGAGTCTGTCTTATCTTGCGAGTCAAGAGACTCTTGGAATGAATACAAACCTGGGAGTCAAAATGTCTACAATTTCAAGCAACAAAAGACCTTTCTAAGCCTACATGGAAACTCATTCATGAATATATGAGTTTTAAATTACAAAGGAAGCACCTCTTCACAATTTGTTTTGGCATATAGCAATGTTTAAATAAAAGTTGACAGTCTTGAGAGACATATTCCTTGCTTCTCAGTTCTTGATCCTTGAATCTAAATAACATTTGCAAATTTTGAGAATAGCTAGTATGAATAAAGGATGTCATGAGCCAAGCACTTTGTCCAATGCCGTTGTTTTGCTTTTGAAATTGGAATTGTTTCCTAAAATCATTCTTTGAGGGTTTTGTAACTAGATTCTTTAAATTTGAATATAGATTCCTGAATATAAAACTCTTTAATCCAACCTTGAAACTTGATATTTGATTATCAAAACTTTTGAGAATTCAGGATTAAGGTTAGAATCAAGACTTTCACCTTAAATATGAGCAGTGCTGTGCATCTTCCAATGATAGCAAAACAGCAAATCAGCACACCGTTACAATTCCCAATGTTAGCAATGCAAAATACTGACCTGAGCCCTCCCTGGCCTGATCTTGTATGCCTCTTTACCAGCCTCTAATGCTTCTGGATACTGCTGCAGACTAAAATAACAAGATGCCAAATAGCTCTGTAGTTGTGCATGAAACTCATTCATAGAACGTGGCAAAAACTCCTTTGCAAGTCCAAGAGAAACAATGGCTTGATTGTACTTGTGTGCTTGATATAGCCGGATGCCTTTATCCTTGCAGCGCCTGCCTTCTTGCTGCAATACAGAGGTAAAACATATGTTAATATTTACAGCAATGTATCGGGGTTTGTACCTTTTCCAGAAACAAATTCAGTGACTTTTCCAAGACTTTTCCAGGACTCAGATTGATTTTTCCAAGACTCCAAATGTCACCTTAAACCCAAGATTTCCCAAATTCAAAATCAATTCTCCTTACAGTCTACATACATTTCTTATAATGTAACTTCTCAAAATTTTACTACTAAAGTTAAGCAGATTTCTAGGACTTTCCAGGACCTGTAGCCTTTTTCAGGACTTTCCAGTATTGGAAAGCGCCAAAATAAAATTCCAAGACTTTCTGGGTTTTCCAGGACCTGTATGTACCCCAACATTCTTTAGCCAAGCAGAAATCAAGACTTAGTGCACCTGATAATTTACTTAACATAATAATTAAACACAGGCAAAAACAAAAGCTAAAAAAGAAAGTTTTCAATTCTACATGTTTTTCTGCATGAAACTCCAGACAGGTATTATTCTTTCAAACTCAGAGGCACCAAAAATTAATGGAGTTTAAAATTTACAGAATCCTTCCCTTGAAACTGGCTTCTCCTGTTTCAAATGCATTGTGCTGTAATATGATGGAAATATAAGAACTATCACTTCAATCTTTCAACAAAGTGGAATTTTCTTGAAAACCAAATGACAATCTGCATTGTCTCCAGGAAATCAACAAGTGGTATTCACAACTAGCAATTCATCATAATGATTGTAACAATAATGAATTATCTTTCAGGAGACATAGGAGAAACAAACCTTAACCAAAGCAGGGTCAACCTTCCAGCAATTTGCAATGTCACTGCGTGCTTCCACAAATCTCTCAGTTCTGTAGTTTGTTTCTGCTCTTGAAGCGTACAGAGTGGAGAGCAAGGCAATATTGTTGCGAGGACAAAACAACAGTGAATAAGTAAAACACTGAGTGGAAACAGACCAGTTCTCTTCTTTATTGGCTTCAAAGCCTCTGTGTACCCATTTTTCTGCACCATCCTGGTAAGATTAAAACTGAGTGAACATAACTATCGAACAAAAATGTTTGTATACACACCTACATATGGCAAATCTCTTTCCAATGATGCTTACACTCATAAATTCCAGAGTTTACAGAACACTCTGCACAGAGCATTAATTTTATCACAAGCCAGTAATAAATCATTGTGATGTCTCCTACCATTTTTTGACAGGAGGTCTTTGTTACACCTACATGTTGCTGATAGTTTTTAATATTCTCATCACCTGTCTATGTGATAATCTATTAAAAATTTTTAGGAGAAATTATAGGAAGATTGTATAGAAGTTGAAGGCTCATACTCTGATTCCTGGAAATAGCTCTAAAGCTCTCTTCATGTCACTGCATGCATCTTCTTTGCATCCCAAGTCCCAATAACAATCTGCTCTTTCTCCCAGTAGTTTGCCAGCATAGTGTGGTCTGCTTGGAGGTGTGAGTTGTATGCTGTGTGTAAATAGCAATAATGCTTGCTCAAGTGCTCCAGCCTGATGAGCAAGGATTGCTTGATGCCGCAACTCTATAGCATCCATCTTTCAAAATTCCTTTACTGCAGAGACAATAAGAATTCAAGATTTAGCCTGAAACAAAATCTTTGAATTCCTTTAATTCACTACTTGCAACAGTCTTTCAACTCTTTAACTAAACTGCTCTCTAGAAGAGCTCAGATGCTAAGGGAAACTTTGTCTAAAGGCAACTTGTTTCACTTTTCTTTCATGGAGGCTTTTAACCCTTTAACTCCCAGATCAAATTTGCAATTCTCCTTACTGTCAACATTCAATTCTTATAATGTTAGTTCAGAGAATTTAGTATTGGATCAATTAATTATCCCCAAATTGATATTTTTCTTTGTTCTCATTATTAATCTGGTTGATATTGTATTGATACTGTACAGAGAAACTCTGCCTTGGTCACTCATGGGAGTTAAAAGGTTAAGAGCCAGGGACCTTTGGGTACCTGTTGACTCTATTGAAATCACAGCTTAGTTTCACTCCCAAGACATGGAACTCAATTCTCCAGGCTGACAAAATATGTTTCTTTGTTGACTAGTCAGTTTGGCACAAAAAGATGCCTGGATATTTGTGTGCAGCCATTTTGTTATAAGAAGTGAACCATTTTCCACAAGTGGAGCTCAAGGAAAAATGTGAGCTTCAAGGTAACAGAGAATGTGGACAAATGGACAAGATATTTTCATGCCAAGTGGAGGCTACTGTGTTTACGATATCTTTTGAATAGTTTTGCAATGCATAGAAAGAAACGTGTACCATATATGTCTCTTTCACTATCACAATAGCAAAATGCTCTCTCATTTTGAATTAAATTCTTAACTAAGAATTTTATCTTATTAGACATAAAATTTACAAATTGGGGAATATCACTTATGGAAAAAATGAACAATAGCCTCTCTTTGGCAGTTGGGTGAGCTTCAAGGAACAGATAATATCCATGGACAAATAAACGTGCATATTTTTGCACCAAATTGAGGGTATCACATTTATTATCCTTCAAATATTTTGTAACAGGTGAAAAAAAAAGGTTTTGAAACAGCTTACCATTTTCTGCATGGGATGTTTAATTTAGAGTGATCTCTGGTATGATTTTGTGAACAAACAAAGATTTCTGTTCTTCTGTATAGCAACCACAAAATGCACTCTCATCTTAAATCAAGTCTTAAAAGAAGACCTATCAAAGTGGATGTAAGGCTGAACATAAGGGGAATATAGGGGAGTGATCTACTAGGATGTCCTCCAGTTTTAGCAGGGGGAATATTTGGTCATGTGATGCATTTAAGCAAATCAGGCACAAGCAAAAATATTTGATGGACTACGACACTGCATATTCCCCAGTTTTAGCTGAAGCATATCAGGTCACGTGACATTTTAAAACCAACTGCATGCAAGCAAAAAAATTTGATGAATTATAATGGTAGCTAGCCAGTTTGAAGTATGCCCACCACTCTTCCTCAGGACTGTAAACAGTGATAGCAATTCAACATTCAACATAAGTATCACATAAACAAATCATAAATGGTTCCTCTCCAACCGTCTACCAAAAGAAGGAACACAGAACTGTTGAATGTGATTTATTTCCGGTTAACACCAGCCGGAAAGAAATTAAATGAACCTATGTTCACTCTGATAACTATCATACCTATCACCGATTGAACAAAACAAGACTTTGAGCGTCATCCATTCAATCTTTTTAGGGCGAGTTTTCTGTGATTAAAAGAAATATTAATCTCCTATTCTCTGAATAACAATATAAAATGAGGTTGTTCTTGAAATAACTGATGAAATGTTCCCACACTGTAGGACAGACAACAGAAATTTGAAATTCGCAAACAAGCAGTTTGGGTTCACCATTCACGCTGAACTCGTCCACTGTTCAATGGTTTGATACCATTGACAAGCTCAGCTAAAGTACGATAAGAGTAACAGCAGTGTCATTGGATACATAAAGCAATATTGCATTGTGTTATTGACATTCCTTCAGCTGAATGAATATTTAATCCCTCGTGAAGAAATTCATGAATGCGCCAACTCTCGAGCTTGACAAAAAGCAAAGGGGAAACTGTTTACGCAGTGAATACCTTATATATCTCTCATAAGGTCTGTCTAACCTCGCTAACTAGTATAGTCCACTCAAAAACACCTTACCTTTCACACACTCGAACAGAAAGCTTTATTTCCTGCGAAAATGAGAGGCAGACGAGAGGAACACAACATTATTGGTAGAGGTCGATGTGTTCATTCATTCATTCAAAACAATTTCGTCATTACAAAGCCCAGTGTCTTCGCCCCACTGCAAACTAGCAGCTGCTGTTATTGCGGAAAAGGTCCACAGTGACGTCCACCGATGAAATGATTCCGGATGTTATGATTCAAAGCGAAAGGGCCTGTTCACAGTTTCCTTCAGCTTACATTAAGCGTGCTTATATACTCCGCGCAAGTCGACGCGCTTGTCATGTGATCACGCGGGCAGCGATCCCAGTCAACACAAAGTAAAACTCGGCTATGCATAAACGTATTTAGACGACAAACGCTTGGCAATGGATATTCACTTTTTATTATCTCTTTGCAGACAAAGCCGACGTTTTTATTCAAAGCTGAAATATCTCCTCATTCCGTGAACTGGGTCAGCTAAATCAATACGAGGATCTCCTATGCAAAACGAAGTCAAAAGAGGCCATCGTCCTTTCCAGTTATGTCGTGGAAAAATTTGGACTTTGTGACGGCTTATGCAAAACCGTAAACGATCACTAGACAAAAACAAAGCTTTCAGAAGGATTCGTCAACAGCTGGGGTGTTCTACATCGGCCATTCATCGGAAGCAGAAGTGCATATATCCTTGCATGCCCAGGTGAGATCCTTGATAGTTTGTGATCGTCAAAAGGGCTATTAATTTTTCATTTAAAGAACTTATACTCCTGAACACTGGACCACTGATAGTTGGACTTACAGTCGAAATCTTTGGGCAGAAGAAATTTTAAAATTGGTCGTCATATGGTAACTAACCTATGAAGGGCGATGGCGGTTTTCAGAAATATGACACCCATGAAATGTTATCGTTTGCCCGCAAGATGTAATAACTTTCGGTGTGGGTCGCGATGTGTTTGCGACTTCATACAGGTAGTCTTGTCGGCAAGAGGTGGGCTGGTTATGGGTCATTTCGTATAATTATGCACCGCTTTGATTGGTTGAAAGAGTGATGAAGTAAGATCTCAGAAAACTGAGTCAGCTTGGTTGGCCGGGCTCGTGTGGAAAAGCTTCTGCGTATCAGCGACTAGTCATATTTTCACCTATTGCTGGGCCATTATGCATAGAGAGAGTTGGGCCAAGTTGTTGTAGCCAAGCCTTGCACTGGATTTTAAAAAGTAGTGTTCCTTTCTCCTTCCAATACGTATTCGGTCCATGGATCGGTGCTGAATATTCTTAGTTTTCGGTTTGGGAGGACAGATAGACTTAGAATTGGACAAATGACACATTGAATCATCCCCTTTAATATCACAATTGTGTATTTTTCGCTACATACTTCGAATGATCATTGATTTAATTTTCTACTCAACTGCATCACTTTTTTAGTTGCCAATCGCAACTAATCTACCTTTTTATGATTTCCGTCTTTATTTTAATCAAGTTTTATTGTGGAAAAAAGAAAATTTAAAGAAATTATTTAAGCAGCAAAGCTTTCTGAAATACAGTGCACCATAACTGATTGAACCCTAAACCAGTGAAACCTAAACTGAAGGACCATTTTTAAAATTCCAGAGAAATAAAAAGTATTTAAAATCATTGATCGAGCTATAGAAGGCAAATCTTTAAAGAAAATGTCACATGGGGAAGTGAAACGTCTTCGAGGGAGATGTTCGAGTTATCTTTCTCAAGTAAGTTGAATTACAGAAAAAAATATTTTCTCGCGAGTCGACTGTAACTAGTACATGACAAAAATTAAAAAAACCTACCAATACTTGAGGTAACCCAAATCAAGACAAGTTCAAAGTTTAAAGACGAGTTGTAAATAATAATGCACTCAGAAAATCGTCAACCACTCCTTCAGGCAACAGTTTGAAAATAGCTTCCCTTGAAATGGATTTGAAAAAAGCTTATCTTCCCTCAAATTACAGTAACCTTCCTCCTCTTTAAAATTTCTAAAAGTTCGTCAAGATATGTCGAAATTTTGCACGATATCGGTATCTGTTTCTGATAGTTTAGAATTGTGATTGAAAATTTAATCAGGCAACAGGTCATTCAAAACTCTACATTGCTTGAAACGTATCTATACCACTAATTTATATACGTCTGTCAGGTCAGGCATTGGTTTGCTTGCTACTGGATAATCATAAAAACCGGTACTACCTGTCTCATGGGTCGGGGAGTCGGCGACTCAACCGGCAACCCCGCCCCATAGAGGACGTGAAGGATGAAACTGGGCACCCTGACAGGACTAAAACAATATCTGCCTTAAGGTCTGTGGTGGACCACTCTCAGTTACACCAGGTGAGACTGGACATCCTGGTACACGATCAACACGTCTGTCGAAAGGTCCTTTGAGGACTTTTGCCTGTCGATGCATTGTGACATGCAATACACAAAGAGCTTGGATAAACAAACCTATCATCTGGTTAGTCACTGCAACAGATACTGGAGTCAGTTTGTCTTGTCCTGTCGTCGCCGTTGATAACACCTCTTTCTGCCAAGAATGTGCTGCTAGTCCAGCAAAAGCTAGAGGTACGTCAATACTTTGCAAGCAGTTTCATGAAATGGTCAGTCCGAAAACAACTCCTGCGTGGAGGAATCCTATCATACCTTAATTAAACAGTCATTGTCCCCCCGACAGATTACTATGATGATTTACAAGGGAAGGTATTTTTCACGCAACTGAAAATGCCCCCCCGCAATCTGTCTACTTCTTACGCTTTTTACGAGGTCTCTTAGATTTGCCACCACCTTTTTTGTTTCCATGTGGGATTTCTTGAATGGGACTGAAATCATGTTCTTCTTCCTTGTCTTCCTCGTGCAATCCTTCGCCTTCTTCCTCCGGTTCACTGTCTTCATTTTCTGCAGCGAAGGACTCTTGTTTTGCTAAGGGTAAGAAAAAGCTGTGTATGATTCTTTTTTCATGTGAAAATAAATATCAGTAATGCAATGCTGCATCCTTGTTTCCATTGAAGAAAATAGTTTGCCTCTTACGTGAGTTGTTGCCTAAGAACCTGTGTCTTTTAAGATGACAAATATTTTGAGAAAAAGTTTGACTCATCAGCTGTCATTTATTATACGAGTTATAGCATCCTTCGAGAAGATCAAACTGAGAGACTGATCTAAACACCTCCCCCATAGGCCATATTAGTATAAGTAAAAACATAATTTCGAGTGCGATTTGGTGTTAACAAGCATGAGTAAAGTTTTTCAAAAAAAAAAATTTGCACGAGCCCGTAGCTAGGGCGAGTGCAATTTGTAGTCTTTGAAAAGTTTATAAGTGCTAATTTACACCAAATTACACGAGAAATCATGTTGCTTCTTGTCAATAATTTAAATGAAAAACACATCACCGAAAGTCAAGACGGACGAAGTTATGGCAGCTCGCGCGCGCTTTTTGTAATTTGCACTCGTGTTACATGAAAGGTGCACTCGTTTTCAGCCTGAATCAAACGCGCGTAATTTTTCATTTATATCACTACAAAGGAAATTTCGCTTCGAAGCTTTTAAGATATCGATACTTCTCCTAATTCCCGACGAATCTTCAAATAAATAATCCTTAGGGTTGCGTAGGTTTCGAACGTGGGCAATCTAGTGGCGTCTATGATTTTCCAACGAAACATGCAAGCAACACGCAAAGCTCGTCCAACAGTTTGCCTTGGGTTTAAAGATATCCACTGAAGTCATATCATTCAAGTCATGTGTTTTTCACCTGACCACTTTGTTTGAATGTTTCCTAAGTTTATAATTTTGATGTTGGTTGAAATGTATACTAGGGGCATACCCTTATGTGAAGATTTCTAAACACCTGTCGTGATTACCTTGTTCTACGACTCTTTCTGTCTTTTGCAGTGTGATTTCAGACTCTGTTATTGCGTTTTGCAGAAGGCTGACTTTTTCCCATTTCAAAGTTGTCTCTATGTTCTGTACTTCACTCTTCACTGCTGAAAGACTCGCCTCTAGGCGGTCCATATCCAATTGGACTTTAACATACAAGGAATGATCCTCCAACACCTTGAGTAGTTGCGCTTCTCTCGTATATAAGGGATGGACTTTTGACAAATAAAGATCTTTGTAATGGTTGAAAGCCTTCACTTTTTCCAAATGTGCTGGGGAATTTCCATGGATTTCTGCATTCTCTGTCTCAATGTCTGTTGATTCTCCTGTTGGTTCACTGGTTCCTGTAGGTAATCCACGAAGAAGGGTTCGTTATTAGTTAGCACACCCAATTAGTTTGTAACGCAATGACAGATCATTCAAGAGGAGTGAACAAAAATTGTGTTCTGAGTTGTGATCATTAATTGCAAGCTACCGACTGAAGATAGGTGTGAACATTTTCTTTAGCATTCTAACTTCAGCTTGATCACATTATCAGTAAACGGCCTTTACTGGTTTGAGTGCATTAATACAACTAAGCTGTTTGCATACGTCACCACACACCTCTTTTAACGTTAACCAAAGGGAAAGAGAGATGTTCGCAGGTCGACTAAATTAATACATTAATTTCCTAATTTCAGAATGAAAGTAGGTTTTACTAAGTACCTTCGTTATCTTCATTGTTCATGTACAGGGTGTCTTCAGCTGAAGCCTTGAAGTTAATCCCACAGATCCCACAAGCAGATACGTCGACTCTGAATTGGGAAAAGTGCTTGTCTAAGACATCAGATTCTGAATTTATTTGTTCTTGGGTGGACTCTAGCCTATGTAATGTCTTAGCTGGTACTACTGCGGCTTGAGCTTGCTTCTTCTTCAGTGACTTTATTCGTTTGTACCACCTTTGGATTGTGGTAGCCGCAACATCTCGTTGAATGTTTTCTCTCTCTTTGCGCTCTTCTTCCGTAAGTTCCACATCCATTCCTTCCTCGGTTGCTTCGGCTTCGGTTGTATTTAAAGTTTCCGTGTCTTCAGACGTTTTCTCTTGGTCTGGATCCTGTTGCAGTCCTTCGCGTATGTGCGTTAGGTCTGTGTGAAATGTGTTTGGGTAAGAGGTTGGTTTGCATGCTCCATCGTACCACAATCTTCCATTGTACCAGCGGAGATCATAAAGTTCTTCGGCCCTACTTTGCAGGAACGTCTTCAATATCATTACCACATCACGTGGCCCTTGCACCTCTTGGATTTTGTCTAACACGCTGTTGATACGGC